TTAAGGCTTCCAGATAACCTGACCAGCCTGCTCCTCTGTAAACAATTTTGTGGGCCCTGCTGATAAGGATAAAGCAACTGCACTGAAGATGATTAGAAGATGCTGATAGCTGTAGGGGAGCAGACTAGTACTGCTCTGGCATATGACTACCCTTGAAGAAAAGCGCTTACAAACTTAGGAACACTTCCAACATCTTGTTACTGGTGATGGCACCCATCTGCAGTTTTTCTGCTGTCAGTGTGTGCCATCAAGCCCCAGATGCTTGTTAATTTATTCTCATCAGAATTGCTGCGTTGGTTTGCAGGCTCACAAGAAACTCTCGTGGCTCTTTGCAACAAACCAAATGATAAACAAACTCCTTCCAGACCAGTCCGGGTGATGTTTGTTGAAAGGTTACTCGTTAGATCTTGCCTGTACTAGAAAAGATGCATACCCCTAGAATGAGGCAGCTGGATCCATAGAGTTGCTGGTTCCACTAACTCCATTCAATCTTTATCTGAAATTGATTTTAAGCTTTGCAGGATTAATATAAGCTTTTGCAGTTAGGGATTACATAGACCTATGAGATCCTGCCAGTGACATTTTTGCTTGTTAAAAATTGTATTGTAGATTAGATTCTAAGGGACTCAAGTATTTTAAGACTGTTATTCAACCCTGTACAGGTGGACCAAATTTATCTGGTGGGCATCTATAATGAAAACCCTGAGAAGCAGAGTGGAGATCTGTTTTCTTATTGCAATGACAGCAACAGAGAAGTGATGGCATTAGGTTAAACCTGTCAGGTTTCACCACTACAGGCAGGGTAAGGAGAGCAACACCTTCATCCTTCCAGCAAACCAGCAAATAGAAAAGCAAAGACTACAAAGCAGAAGAGACTGAAAGGAGAATATGGGTCTAAGGAGGAGATGGCTCAAACAGAAGCACTGCTTGTCCTGCAAATACTTGCTGTGATGAAGCACGGGAAGCCATAAAGGCAGTCTGAAAATCTCAGTATTTGCCATCTGCAGAAAGAAAGAAGGGGAACCAGAGATCAGGTATTAGCATTTTTTCTCTGGTTTTATTGCCAGAGGGCCAAGACAGGTAATGGTTGCAGCTGAAGCTGCTACGTTCCCCTGTCTCCAGGGTATGGGGGCAAACCTGTCAGACTCCTTGCATTGCTTTCATTTCAGTGCAACTCTGCTCCTTACACCAAACTCTTTTAGAAGATCTACTGCCTGCCCTGGCCTTTCCCTGTGTAATTTTTGCAGGAGAAATGGATCAATTTTGCCTGATGTCTTCTGCCTTTAAATCAGCTTCAACTGATGTGAGACTCAAGTGGTGGCAGCTGGGAGACTGCTTAGCTGCAAGCATAGCTGTAGTTGTTCTGTGACCCGAAGAAGGTGGCAGAATGTCATGCATTAAGGGCGATGGAAAATAGGTATGTGGGAGGAAGCCCTTTACTCAAACAGTTAATACACCTAAATGTGAAGAAAGAGGATTTGGTGTCAAAGTACACCTGTTGCCTGTGGTTTGATGCAGTCAGTGTGACATGTATTGCTAAACCTTTGTCCCAGCTGTCATAGGGACCGAAGTTTCTGTGGTTTTTCATTGGTCACTGCTTTTGAAATTTACTGCTTCTGACATGCAGAAGTACTTTTTTTTCAAAGTGTGAGTGAGCCTGCAGGATGGGTGTGTTGATAGTACATAGCTGACCAGACCGTGCTGAAAGCTTTTAGTGCAGCAGCATTTCAACTCCTGGCTGCAATGGTAGTTAGAAACAAAGAGGATCAAACTGGGACAGCTCTCATCAAGTCCTCTGATTCATAGTTCCTGAACAGATTCTTGTCGTAGTCTACTCCTCTTTGCTGTATAAAGGAAAACATATAAACTCTTCCCTTTGTATTTAGAAAGCAGGCATGGATTAGGCTTACTAAGCAGTAATCAGCTTTTGCTGGTTTAAAATTAACTAAAACAGCACTAGTCTTTTTTTTCCTCTCAGCTGGTGGCAGTAGGGGACAGAAGATGTCTGGAGGAGGTGGCTCAGGCTTTTGTGGCAGTGTGAAGAGAGATGTGACCTGCAGCAAGCTCTTTCCATTGCCAGAGGCATGGTGCTCTGTCCATCCTGAATGAGTTTTCCTGGCCTATCTTCCCAGCTGCCAGAATAGCTGTACAAGAGAGGTGAAGTCTGTACTATCAGGGAGGGAGGGAAAGGTTTTACTCTGATGGGGATGGGAATGCATGTCCTGGGGCTGGTGGTGTACCAGCAACTGCAGGTGTCCTTTGCTGTCCACCATCCTCAATCTGTTACCCTAAAGAGAATTTCCTCTTGGCACTCTCCTCTCATCCCCTGCACTGATAGTTGAGCTATTTATTTTGAGTTGTAATTGAAACAGGTATGTTGGGGATTTTAAGCCCCTGCCCATTTCAGGGGTAAGGACACTGAGGTGCCTTTGCTACCTTCTCTTCCTTAGCTCTCTCAATAACATGCTAAGAGCTTAAATGTTTCTGACAGCTCAAGCTGGGTTTGGTTTTTTTTGTTTTGTTTTGGCAGAGTAGCAGCTAAAGTTTTCCCCTTTCCACTACTGAGCAGCTGGGCCAAGGGCCTCCTCCTGAAATCACGACTGCAATCCATTTTCCCTCTTAAAGCAGCAATGATGTAATAGTTCACAGCATCACACAGAGCTGTGCCTGGCAGGCAACACTCACAATTTCGGTTTCTTCTGTTGGCCAGGTCATGCTGGGAGATGTAACTTAAGGCCAAAAAACCTCCACAGGGTGTGGAAGGCCTGTCTGCAAGTCAAGCATCTTTGTGTCTCCTCTTAGATGGCACTGAATAGTAGAAGGCTATTTTCCTTTTCTAGCATTAGGGGGAGCACAGCTGTTAAGAGAAAGATACTACATGTTTAAAAAAAAAATTCAAACTGAAAAAAAATTCTGAACCTTATGAGTCCAATTAAACCCTGTCCCAACACAGTGGCCTGTTTATAATCCCTGTGGCACCAGTAACAAAGTTTCTGCAGGTACCCAAGATTGTAGGACCTTGCTCCCAGAGACATCAGGCAAAGAGGAGGAGTAGAAATGGACAGCCTGATAATTTTTCAGTCCCCTAGAAAGAAGCAAATAAAACTGAGTGACATTAACAACTGTTCTAAGCTTTCTTGGCATTCCAGAGGCCGTGTTGACAATGTTACAACAGCTATTCAGGAATGCTGTTATACCACCAGGGCTGTTTTTGAGAATTTATAGACTGTAATTTCTTGTTTTAGCTTCCAGAGGTGTCACTGATGATTTTACATAGGGCCTTGGCTACGGGAGAAAATATTCTTCTCTCGCTCTAAGGTCTTGACTCTGCAAATTGGTTTTGTTTTGCACTTTGGTAGGAACATTGCCCAATAAACTGTGTGGTAAAGCCTCTCTACCCCCAAAATCCCCAAACTCTTAATGATTTTCTCAGTGCTAGGATTTCACATGTGGGCTCAAAGTTCATAGGCCTATGTAATTCCTCTGCTTCTACCTCTACTGGCTTGTGCTTGCCTCCTCTGCTCATGAAAAATACTTTATTGATCAGATCTCTTTAAACCCATAAGGATACTTTCTGGCCACTCAGTGAGCCAGGCTAGCAGAATCACTCCCTGTGTGCATAAAAGGTACCAGATAATGACATTTAGGCCAAATATCCTATCAGGGATATTTTACTTCATATATTTTTCCACAACTCAGCACACGCTTTAATCATTGGAATGGACAGGCTGATTGATTGCTTGGCTGATTCCTCTACACTCAGCACCTAAAAATAAATGTTTAAAAGTTACATAATCTTGGAGTTAAGGCTGCTCTGCATGTTCTTTGGAAGTGAGAAGTCCAAGTCAGGGCTTATGCTTTGGAAGAGCAGAGAGGATCCTCTGATAAGCTGACAAGAATGTACCAGACTTCTTTTGTAAAGAAAGACCAAGAGGGAGCATTGTAGTTTGGTTCTACTCTTTCCACTGATGTGATCAGCTGGCTCTTGGTGGTGTTACTGGTTTGGTTCTGTCAGGTTCGCAGGAATGTCAGCATCCATGCATCTGCAAGCTACTCTGTTCTGCACATGTTCAATTTGCTTCTTTAGGAATATACCAAAGTTAATATTGTGAGGAGAAATGAAGGACAAAATATTTAAGAAGAATGATTCCTTCCAAGGGAAAAGTTTGAGATGCTCAGAGGAGGCATACCTGGGTGCCAAACAGTGGTACTGTTACCTGCAAGAATAATGTGCAGGAGGAAAAATTGTAACTGGCACTCAAGAAGAAGTTTCTGTGAGACCTGTGGTATTTGCAGTGCTTTCAGAAGTCAAAGAAGTGGCAGAGAGTTGAAAGACACTAAATAGGGAAGAATATGGGGAAAGACGAGGAAGAAGGCCAGAAGGAAAAAACATTTGTGGGTCATTCTGTGAAGAGTACAAAGAAAACACATGCCCCAGAGGGACAGTGCCATGAAAGTTACAACAGAAATCACCAGTGGATAAGGATACTCTTCTTTCTTTCTTTCTTTCTTTCTTTCTTTTTTTTTTTTTTTTAATTTAGTTCAAAAGGATGACAGGAGCATGATGCAAAGTGTTATTCATATACTAGGGAAGACACACATATGAGGACATCTGATTTAAGGAGCTGCTTCAAAAATAACTGCAGGAGAGGAGTGTGTTTGCAGAGTGCAACAGGCAACCTGCAGAGCAGTAGAAAGTAAGACAGCAGTGGTGCTCTGAGTGCAGATAGCCCCAAATGTTTACAGGATTGTGTACGTTTGTACTCCTTGCTAAACCACCCCATCCTGACCCCTGGGGGTGTTTTACAAATGAAAGGAGGTGCTGTTTCCATGTTTTCTGCCTGAGAACATTGATCCCTTTTCTGTTGCTCTCCTTCTTGACCCCTTTCTCTTAAGTCAGCAGCTTCTAAATTCCAGTTTCAAGTGTTAAAGAAATAACCCTGTTTCAATGAATATCCAGAAGGTATGGGAGAGGAATGCAGATTTGAATACTACTCCATCCCAAAGATGAGGCCTTGTTCACCTGGAAAAAAACAAAAAAAAAAAAAGGCAGGCTGAGAGATTTTGAAGCTGGATGCTCATATCCAGCATTCTGTCCTAGCCTCTTAGTGATTACTTTCTACAGGAACAGGCAGCAAACCTGGCCACTGATATACTGAGATGCTGTGAGGAAGTCCATTACAGCTTACCTGTTGGTTCAGCTTCCCGATGGGTAAAACAGAAGTGAAAAGCACAACTCTTGTACTCGCCTTCTTCCTAAAGTCTGTGGTTTCAGACAGCTCTGAAAGTGCTGTGGTGTAGGATTCAAGGCAAGTATCAGGTGTGGTCCATTAGTGGAATGAGAAGGGGTAAAGCCAGATGGCAGGAGGCATCCCACTGGGGAACACAATGTTTCAGGCACCAGGCAGTTAATTTCTCGTGTTAGCCAGGTAAGAGAGCATGTTTGATAAAGACCAGATGAAAAATGAGCATAATTGTGCATTGGGCGATTCATCCTCTCCTTAAAACAGAACTTTGACAAAACATTCATGAGGAATTTTCATCCCTATCTGTTTTCTAGTTTTTCACAGGAAAATCAATGCAAATACCACTTCAAAGTAGCAACCAGATGTTTCCCTCCTGCTTTTTTAGATACCCATTGTGGGTAAGAGAAACATTTCACAAATAGAAGTGAGAGTTTGATATATAGTAGCTGATATCAATCTAGTAGGAAACAGCTGTATTTCTTTTCTGCACTAGTGGCTGTCAGCAAGTAACACTGAGCTGACTTTGGATATCCCCTACCTCAAGGGAAGCATTATCCTCTGTACTCCCTCCAGTACTGTGTTTTCTGATAAAGAACAAATGTGTCTGCTAAAATCAGTTCATGCTGCAGTAACCACTTGGAGCAAATCTTTGTTTTCAGTTATAAAAATTCTCCCTTACAGTACAAAGTTAACTATTTGGAGTTTCGCAGAATTATTCCGTATTTACCTGGCTATGCCTGGTATAACCCCAGCTGCACTTTGGCCAGTGTTTGGTAGCTGAGTGCAGCTTGCAATGCAGTTTCATATGTATGTTAACCAAGAAAGGGATGTGCTTTGGACAAAATCTGATATTTCAAAAGAGTTGAATTAGCTTGGAATAAAATGTAGCAACAGGGAATTGAATATCGTGCTGTTGCTCCATAGGTTAACAAACAGATGGGAATCAATTGCTTGTTACTATGTAAGAGGCTGTATCTCTAATATTGCCTGTTTTAAGTAAAGTACTTACATTTACAGTTAGGTAAACAGATGATTTGCTTTGTTTTTACTGGGGCTCAATTCACATTGAAACTAATGGTCATTTAATGTTCAAATTGCTTATGCCATCCCATTTGATATCTCTTCTCAATGCCTAAGCAAGTTGCAGACCAGGCCCTGCAGGACTTGCAGCTGACTGCTTTTAAGTAGATATGGGCTCCTAAGCACTGAGATTGTTTTTGGAGTGGGAGCTCTGGCATACTGGGCTGAATACTGAAAGGTATTCAGGCATACAAATCGTTCAGTTTTTAAACTTTCCTTGAAGTAGTTAATGGTTTCCTATTTTGATGTCTCTTCAGGCTTTGCCAAGATTAAGCTTTTTCTATTACTTTGTATCTATAGAAGATACAAAACAGTTCACTCTCAGAAAGTGTTGTATCCCGGCTAGGGCTAATCATGTGGCTTTCTTTCTTTAACTGATTGCATCATTCTTGTTTCAGTTGGGACAACTTGGCTTACACCTTTCTCTTCCTTGTGTGACGTGGAGTGCACTGCACTGTTTTACTGTGCTTATATACTGGACATGCTGTTCTCAGCTATGGGACTATGGAAAAATGCCCAAATTTTTCTCTGAATGCTGCTATACAGGTGCAGGCAGGGTGGCAAGTGTAAGCTCATTGGGACAAAGATGTATTCTGAAGGAAGGACTGAATAAGCGCTGTAAGCAGGAGTACTTCCATAGTGTAGAACGCTGACTGCAGGCTCCTCCTTGTCCAGCCAGCCAAAGCTGACCTCGTGTTTGATATGGTTACTGCTCCTGTCTGTCTTCCAGTTTGGCTGCAGGGTCCTGTGCACCCTAGCTTGCTTTATAGATGTCTCACTGCTGCCACATCCTGCACCTATTAAAATCTGGGCCATGTCCCTTTCTCCCTCCCTGGAGCACATGGAGGCCCTGTGAGTATCCCCATGGAAGGCTGACACCAACAGGCTGCACAGCGGGGTAATTTACCACTAGATGGCTGGACCTCCTTATTGTCCAGCTCAGTTTTGTTCCCGGCTCAGCATGACTGTGCTTAGTACAGAACAATGGACTCATTGTAAGCTCTCTGCCCACCCACTTTATAGCTTAACATTTTTAAACAGCTGATGCTTTTAGCAGATTTGCCTTCATGATGAATAGTTCAAACTTTTGAAATGTACTGAAAGAGCTGTGGTAATATCTAGGAAAATTATAGCTATTTTGCAAGATGAAAAGGAAAAGCTCCCTACTCCTATTCTACTTTTTTTTTTTCTCCATTTCATTACATGTGTAATACAACATTCACTGAGTCTTTTATTTCGTACATGCATGCACAAGTGGGACACATTTAACAGTTTGTCACTCAGACTGGGATATAACATCATGATGTCCTGAGTAGTCACAGCCACGTACTTTGATCTGGTGAATTTGGTTATGTAAAATCTGTAGAACTTTTAGACACTGACATATATGTCACTGTAATTTGGGGCAGAAATGTCTTTCCTTTAAGAAAAATTATTTTGCTCATAGTCAGTCTTTTCAAAAACTTTGATACCTCTGAGTGAAAAATGTCGACTTTGCTGGTGATTGCAGACTGATACATCCTACAGAGCAAGAAGGCCCACTTCAAAAGGAAGATTTCTCCTGCCTGAAAGCAGACTAGAGGAGTAGACAAAGTAAACATCTGTTTCTTGAAGATATCATTTTTTTTTCCCTTATCAGTCTCTTCACATTTTCAGCTCTCTTACTTGTATTTACTGGGTTCACATTGTATGTCTACAGACGTGTTTGTATCCTTTGAGTTGCAAACAACAGAGAGGGATATTTTAAAATAAAATTAGTTGCTTTGCTGTCACAACACTAGCATTTTATACTTGCCATTTGCAGGAACATGGAGGAGTCATGGTCCCTGCCTCCAAGGTAGTATAAACTAAAATATCAAACCTGGAAATCTTAGGGCATGTTAACAGCTTTGTGAGAGCCTGAAGATGTGCCTAAAGAAGGTGATACATGAAATGGTAAGATGGAGATGAATCTAGAAATAGGTTTGGGGTGGGTTTTCTTTAATTTTTTTGAATATCAGTATCAGTCTTTCACAGTTCAATTTTCTTAAAGCACTATGACTGCAAAAAGAAAAAAAAAGGCTGATAGTATAATTAGTGTGCTAGAAGAAGAACAGGAAATTAAAATGAACTCCACCCATCCACACTCACAGAAAAACCATAGGTAGTGAGGCATACAGCAAGTGACAAACCTCTGAAAAAACAAGCTTCAAAAGTAGTTGTTAAACCCAACAAGAATATTGGTTGCTACTCTGTTCTCATCTGCAGGAAGGTTTCTGGTTTTGTTAATGCAAAAGGTAAGAGTAAGAAAGGCTTGGAAATTTACACTCACTGGACTTGCAAACAAGTAAATTATATATTTTTCTGAAGTGTTTCTTTTTAAAGGTGCTTGAATGGTAATGTGCAGGTTATTTATGAAACACTTCCAGGCAACTTCATGCCTGGAAGTAGTCTGGACCCAGTTTACTTGCTCTTTGAACTCTTCAAAATACTGAAGTTCCAAAGTAAGTAGAGAAATCATATGGCTTAGTTCTGGTACTTGATTCTGTCACAAACAGCATGTTATTGCTGAGCACAGAAGATTGTCTGCCTAAGATGTAGCATTATCTCAGGCATTGTGTATTCCTCCTATGAACTTAAAGGAAGTAAAAAGCCCAGCCAACAAAGCATGGCTTTGTAATCACTCTAGTACTGCTATTGGGGTTGTTTAAAAAAACTTATTTATTTACCTTGTTCCTAAGCAGGTCCAGTGATTAAAAACTCTACAGACTACTGCTGTAAGATACCTGTTCACTGGTGACATTACAAGTGCTATGTTTGCTGTGGCAGCTCTGCATAACATCTGAGGAATTAAAGGTGTCAATGCCAAGGTAAAGGAAACAGGTATCTTTGATCCAACTATGTGGTAACTGTCATGAGATGTGAATAAAGAAGGTGTGTATGAAGAACCAGACAAAAAATTGTGAGGAAGTCAGCCTAAACATTTCAATCACCTTCCTCTGAGATTATCAGCTCACTTTTGCAGAATAGTCCTAAAAAACTGTTAGAGGCCCAGGATACATCCTGTTATGTAGTTAGACAGCTGACACCAATGTCACAGCAAAGGTGGCACCCCTTTTGTCACGGCTCTTGCCATAGCTCACATGAGCAAGCATGTTCCTAACAGAGGTTGGGAGGTGCTGCACTGCATATCCAGAGACTCCCCCAGCAGATGCTGACTCTCTTGAGCACCTCATCACTCTCGCCGGAGGGTTTTGGATCAGCTCTCTGCTGTGAAGGCAGTGACATAGAGTCCCTTCAGATCACAGCATCTCTACAGCCATTCAAATAAAAAAGCAATGGAGAAAGTGTTGCTTGGATTTGAAATCAGAACTTGTGGCACAGTTGGCTTTTCCCATTCTGTTCTCAGCGAGATGATTTAAGGACTTCACGGAGGTCTGGGGGCTGAACTCTTGACCACGATGGCCAAACATGTGCTCCAATGCCTTCTAGCTCAACTATTGGTCAGGCCATGGTAGCAAATTGTTCTAAAAGCTGAGCTCTGAGATGAATTGTTCTGCCAACCTCTCCTCCTACCACTCTGGCAGCAACTTACAGTTAAAGCCTACAGCAACCGGATTTGCAGGTGTGCACTCTCTCATCCTTCCTCCTGCTTCCACTCCCTGACCTTCTGACAGGTTTACAGATCTTCCTGGTCAGAGATGCCAGAATGATTCCCGAGGGACTGTTCATGTGGAAAACTCTGATCCAGGCTCCCAGGAAAAACCAAAAATTTAAACAGGAGGAGGGATGGGAGAAGCTCAGGTGGTTTAGGCCTGAGTAAAGGGAACCCTTGAAGGGAACCATGCGCAAAGATTACTTAAAATAGTGGACTTGCAGAAAACCTTATCACCATTGAAAACACAGAGGAGCTTGTTCTCACGCTTCGTCTTCTGAGTGGTATTACAGAGGAAACAGTTGTTAAACCTCTGAGTTGGAGGTGTCTGAGTGAGGATGTCCTGTGTTATATGATGAAGAATTGCTGAAAACTCCTCAGAAGGCCTTGAAAAACCTAATGGATCTTAAGAAAATCATATGGTGTTCTGTTATAGGATAAACATTGGTTGCTCTTTCGAACAGAGCACTGTCAAGAATTATACCTGAACCTTCAGGTATACACAAGCAGTAGTCTGTGTTTGGGAAGTGAACAATTTCCAAGTTTGAAGTTTGTCCAGTACTTTTAGCAATATAAAGTTAGAAGGATTAATTTGACACTGGAATCTAAATTTATATCCATATTAACAACCATGGTCCTGTAGCACCAGTTATGAAAGGAGAGGTGTCTACCCATACTCTGATTGCAGTCAGCCCTAATTTAGAACTGTAAATCTGTGTCTGTTTTTGCAGAATAAAGCATATGTTTTATCTCATTAAGCCTTGTCACTGTCCTGTGCATAAAATGGTGGTAAGAAGTACCTCATAATTAATGCACTTCGGAGCCAGTTTGGTTGTAAGAGTGCTTGGAACCTCACCTGGAGTCACTGTGTGACAGTGAGCTATGGACCAGGTACGTCATATTATTCCTGCTTTACTGTTGTACAGACTCGTTGGGATAATTCCTGATAAATGTCCGATAAGAGAGGGCTCTGTAAAACACTCCAGAAGAGGGGCTTGCTGAGGCACAGCACTACGGAAACAGAGCTGTGTGTCAGGTTGTTTGCCCCAAGCAACAGCGAGGTGCAGCTGGGGCCCCGGCTATTCCTTTGCCTCTGAGTGCAGAGTGTGGGGAGGAAGTGTGCCACCACTCCCACTCCTTCCTCCCCCAAGCAACAGAGGTAGCAGCCTCGAGGTGCCTGACACAAAAAGTACAGTGTTTTGAGAAAGATAATAAAGGCTCAGATGCACATTCTCATGGGAAAGTAAAATCAGACATCATGTGATTGGTTATTGGTTGTTATTTGGTATGCCTTAGCTTCAGATTCTGGCCCGGAACCCTGCAGATGTATAGACATGCTTAATGCTTTGTGAATCATTGTAACAATGTTGTTGTTATCACATTCTAATGATGTTGGGTTGGTCCTGCAAGATGATATTATTCAATACTGAGAGCTAAATACGAAAATACTGAGAGCTTCATACGAAAAAGCAGCTCACTACTCACCAGTGTTATCCATAACAGTAATTAATCAGTAATTGCACTTGTAAATTAACAAAATATATTTGTGTTATCCTTAAGGGAGGCTGAAGTCATGTTCACATCTGGGACACAGCATGTAGTTCCACCAAGGCCAATACAACTTGTATCACTACTTGAGTTTAGACCTATGAAGTTCTTAGCTCAGAATTCCTTTTGAACCTAAAAATAGTCCCCTCATCAGTGGTCACTGAGTTGCTAAGCAGAAAACATGGTTGCAAAATTATCAAATGAACACAAATGGCATTACAAGCTAGTATGATATTCAGACTGATAAATGTTTTGAGATAGGTAATACCTCTGACTAAAAACCTTGTTTTATGTCAGAAAGCTCTGTGGCTTCCTTACAAAAAAAGATTGCTCTCGTATGAATTCCTACTAAAATAAAGTGTCTAGGAAATACTTAAACTTATGGACACAGACACTGAACTTCTCTTAGACCTCAACTCTTTGTCTCACTACAGGTGGCATTGGCAATGTGATAACTCCCAGAATTACAGTCTTTAGTGTGCTGCTCTGCCATTTCTCTTCTTGAGTCACTCAGGCTTGCATTTCTTTTTCCCTGGAAAATGTCAAAGAATTCATAGATCAAAAACTGGGAGCTGATGCAAAGACAGAGGTGCTGGATCTAAGAAATGATTGAGGATCTGGGATGAGAGTTCTTGGTGGAAAGTAAGAATTTGAGAGTCTGCAACTCTACCTCTTTTAAGACTTCTCAAACTTGCTGCACTTATTAGCATTAGAATTGGCCAGTCTTTAGTCAGAAGAAATCCATTGATGTCTACATCTTAAGAGATGGGAAGTAGATTGTCATTTGGAGGGGGATTCTTCTCCAGTGTCAGTAGGAAATCAAGGCATTGCCCAGTGTTATGAAGCAGTGTGCTACTAGAAACATTGCTCTGTCATTGAAATACCATCCATTAGTACTCCTCTGACTCATCAGATGAATTATGAACTAACTGAATTTGAGTGACTGTCTTGCCCTACTGCAAGGAAAGGTAATATTGCTCCTGCTTAGTATTGCCTCAGGCTTTTGTGCTAAAAGAGCACACTAGAATTCAGTGTTGACTGGTAACTAACAGTGAATTTAAAGTGCTGTCACACTCATCGTGCTCAGCTTCTCTAGGTGGCCAAAACATGTAAGAAGCAATCCACAAGAGATGGCACAAAACTAAAGGATGGGGATTTTTTTAATCCCTGTTTGTTTAGGAGAGGAGACAATATGTGTTTGTAAACCAGAGAGGCTGCTGCAGGTGTAGAGGACTCTGTTACAGCTGGCATTCTGAAAGATCAATTACCTACATCAAAGCTGTTCTGCTGCCTTTGCTGTCTGGTTGCTTATTTTTGAGGCTGCACAGGAACCATACACACAAAGTGAATTAAAAAGAGCAGGGTTCTGCGTTGAATATGCTCTTTGAGTGAGCAGTCTAACCCTTAACACCAGACATCCCAAGTTCTTCTTAAGCTGATGAGATGATGGGATAAAGTTTTAAAGCTTTGGGCTTTAAAAAGACACTTGGCAATGATAATACTATGCTTGATTGAGAAAGCAAGTGAAGTCATGTAATATGATGCTATAAATGATGTAGGTTGTGTTTCAATTGGAGTTGTTGATTGGGAATGAATGGATTAATAGGTAAAACATCTGAGATTGTTACTGAATTTATTGTAATAAATATTACTTTACAATATTTTCCTCCTGCCTGTGAAGCATTAAAATGTTAAGGGGTGCCAACCCATGATGTTAGTAGTGTGTTATGACAGGAATATTATAAATGTTATAATATTAAGTATGATAAGTTGTCACCAATATTTGAATCCACTTATAAAAAGAGCACCTTAAAATATAACACATTATTACCATACCCTACTGTATGGCACCTGTTGTGCCTTTATCCACTGGTATGGAACATATGCATTACTGATGATTCACCCTTCTCTTCTCCTGCCATGGATGCTCTTGTAAAGACAGTGTTAACAACAGACACAGGGAGAAGGCTCATGTGATAAACTATACAGTCATAGTTAGCGTTGCATTAATTTCTCATTTACCAATAACATTGTTTATTTTCATGGATCTGTTTCAGCAGATGGTTTTTCTTCTTAATGTCTACCAGATATGACAAATATTTCCCTCCTCTTTCAAAAAAGACATATGACAAGGCCTCATAACCGATATGAAATGATCTTGAACCAAGACTCTCTTCTGTAGTTCTAACAGTATCATGCTTCTGAAGTGTGTTATCTTGCAATCCTCTAGAGATGGGAGATGTAATTTGTTACAAAGAAATATTCCATCTTTTAAAAGAGTTGCACTTGCAGAATCACAGAATCAATTAGGTTGGAAAAGACCTCTGAGTTCATTGAGTCCAATCTATGATGTAACACCACCTTGTCAACTGGATCATGGCACCAAGGGCTACATCGAGTCTTCCCTTAAATGCCTCCAGGGCGTGGTGACTCTACCACCTTCCTGGGAAGCTTGTTGCAATGTCTAATCACTCTTTCTGTGTAAAATTCATCCTACTGTCCAACCTGAACATTCCCTGGCACAGCTTGAGACCATGTCCTCTTATCCTGTCACTGGTTGCCTGGGAGAAGAGACTGATCCCCACCTGGCTACAACCTCCTTTCAGGTAGCTGTAGAGAGTGATAAGGCCGCTCCTGAGCCTTCTCTTCTGCAGCTCTCTCTTAGAGCTGGACCAGGAAACTCTGAAGACTTGATTGGTTGACATTATTATATTCTTCAGGGAAGAAATGCTATTAATTATGCTGTTAATGCCAGACCATGTGGACTCCTGAATCCCAAACAGCATACGAATACAACTCAAGCCCTGTAACTTTATAGCTGTCAGGTTCAATATAAACCCCGTGTACGTTAAAATATAAATCCTAGCAATCACTGTAAAATGGTTCTTCACGCGTCCCTGCGCACACGAAGGTCCCGCGGGACGCCATCCCAGGGGAGCCCATTCAGAACAGCCCACACGGTGCAACTACGGTGTGGCTCTCTACCGCAGCCAGCCTGGAACCCGAAGGCTGTCCTCCGTGCCAGGCGGGGCTACTCCTCGCCGTGTCGGCACTCCCGGGCCTGTGTCACGCCGGAGGAGAGGGAGGGTGGGATACCAGGAGGGCAGCGGCACGGAACACCCCGGCCGCGGCCGCGGCGGGAGCGGCGCCGCCTCCCCGCCCCCTCCCCGCCCACACGGGGCGGGCGGGCGGCCGCGCGGCCTGATTGGCGGGCAGCGACGCCAATCACGGGGCGAGGGGGGGAGCGGGGCGGGGCCGGGCGCGCGCGGCGGCCGTTGGCGCTGCGAGGGCGCGCTCGGGGCAGTGCGCGGCTCCGGCCTCTGCCCGAGCCGATCCTGCCCCGCCGGCGCCTCTCCCGCTCCTTCGCTCCCTCCCTCCCTCCTCCCTCCCTCCCGCCGCCAGCAGCCGAGGGCCTCCTCCATGCGGGAGAAGAGGAGGAGGAGGAGGAGGTGGGAGCTGCTCGCCGGCCATCCCCGGCGCCCGGCAAGCCGGAGCCGACCCGCCGCCGCGCCGCTGCTGCCGCATCTCCCCGCGGCACGGAGCCGGCGCTGAGCCCTGCCCGCCGCGCCGCACCCGCCTCCGCACCCCTCCTGGTAGCCTTACCCCCATCCTCCTTCCAGTCTTCCCAGCCCCCTCCTCCTAGTCTTCCCCCTCCTTTTTTTTTTTTTTTTTTAATCCCCCTCCCCCCCCCATCCCCGCGCGCCCCCATTTGGTTCTCACCCTGGCCGCGAGCAAAGCGTCTTCATGAGCGCAGAGGATGTCCGGGAAGCACTACAAGGGGCCTGAAGTCAGTTGTTGCATCAAATATTTCATCTTCGGCTTCAATGTCATTTTCTGGGTAAGCGGAGCCGGTTGCGCGGCGCTTCGTGTCCTCCTCTGCCACCTCCAGCTCATCCTCCTTCCTTCTTCTCCTCCATCCCGGCCGCCGGCGCCCCTGGTCGGGCCGCGGTCGGGAGCGACAGGGACGTGTGACAGCCAGGTGCGAGGCCGCGGCGGGATTTTGGATGGGGTGCGGGTGCGAGGCAGGGGGTGCCGCCGCCTCCGAACCACCCCCCCCCGTCCTCCCCGGCAGCCCTTCCCCGGACAAGTTGTGGTGCTGCATTCCTCCACCTCCCGGGGATGCCGGCTCCTCTTCCCTTCCGGCCCTCCTAATTGCTTTTGTTGTAGGTGCGAAGAGGATTTCGTGCCTTTTTTTTCCCCCCCCTCCTTTTTTCCTGTTCCCTCCTTCCTTTTCCCTCCTCTGCTTTGTGGTGGGGGAGGGAGGGAGCAGCCAGACACCCGGGCCTGGAGAACGAATTGATCTGCATGTTTTCACACTGACATCCCTCTTAAATGCAAATAATAATAATAACGAAAAATCACAGCTCAGGTTCTCTGACCAGTGATGTTTAATGACTGCACAGTGATGAAGTTGAGTATGGCAAGGGTTTGTTATGATTAGCTATTAACACATAGTAGTAGTAGCAATCAGAATGGAGGAGAGGGGAAACAGTATTCCCACCATCCCTAAAGTTCAACCCCATTGGAGGCTTCCTTGGGCATTTGTTGGGATTCTGGCTGTGATCTGCCTGTATAGTGTTGCGCCGCTCTGGCTGTAGAGTAGGCAGAACTGTATAGTGAAATGTAACCTGCATATAATAGTACTTCTAGCATCTTCTCCATGTGTTGGATTTGAAAGAGAAGCAGCTGGTTTTGGATATACATATCAAATTTTGGAACCACAAAGGGGGAGGGTGTGAGCATTCTCTCACACATGAAAATGATGAGGTGTTCTCACTGCATAGAACGTCCAAGTCGAGTGAAGGCTCTTACGTGTACAATCCCCCTCTTTTCCTGAGATGTTCCACATAGCAATGAGAAACATGCATAAACCCAGGTAGGTGAATGTGTTTTTGAGGGGCTTTGAAAACAAGTTGAATATATATCCAGTATAGTGGCTTGTTTGGACTAGAAAGGAGAGTTGAGAAAAAAACCCCACACCACCTTGAAGTTTCATAGATGAAGGTGGGGAAGAACAGAGGAGAAAAAACCTTCTAAGCAGTACTGAGCTTCTGATCGTCCCCTTGGTGAGAACAGAGGTTGGTTACATGAACAGCAGGTTCGTGTTCCTGGAGAATAAAGATACCTGAAGAGGATGTTTGAAAGGATGGGATTTTTGATTAATTACAGTTTTATACTGAAATACCTTTCCTTAATCAAGAAGGTATGCTGCGAGAGTGAACCCCTGACTGTGGCTTTATGTCGGTGTTTACTTGGCCCCAGACCGACCCCTGGAGATGAGTGGTAGCAAGCTTTGTGGTATTTTGACCCGACAGAGCTGTTTTGATTGTACTCTTCCACTCAATTTTTAGTGGTTGAGTTTGACATGGTTCTTTTCACTTGTCTGTTTCTTTATTTGGATTTTCCTCGGCATATGTTGCTGTGAGCATGAATATTTTTCAGCAGGGAACAAGTACTGTGAGGAACACTTGAGTGCGGTGTCCTTGGACTAAGAGAGGGAGATTATGGTGAAATCTACATAACTGTGTTCAGTTGCTGTTTCAGGCACTGTCAGTATATCAGAGGTTATACACCCTGTAATTTCCTTCATTTTATTCTCTGAAGCTTAATGTGTGGAGGGTGCAAGTGGTATGTTTTAGGTTTTCTGTAGCTTACTCGTTTTCTAATCCTGTGTTCTTGAGGCTGGTGCAGCACAACTTCTGCAGGTGTGCCTCTCTTGTAACTGAATGGGCCAAAGGATATTCCATTAGGCCAGGGATTTTATACTGTTGGAATGCTAATCGGAAAACCTGAAAAAATATAATTGTATGTCACCCACTGAGCCACTTGCTTGATGTGTGGCCCTTGCTTGCAGATTTCCTCTTTTGTGAAATGCTAATCATCTCATTTGTGTTCCTGGCTAAAGCTTCTTGAAATTCACAGAGACCAAGCACTTTATAAGAGTTTAGTAATTTCTTTAGAATATTGTAGTCTCTTTACGAGAAAGCTTGCATTTATTACCATGTCTTTCATGATTTGGAGTGAAAATATAGACAGTTACTCTTGTAGAATACATTTTAATGTTGTTTTTACTGAATTAATAGCAAATCCTACAATAGTCTATGATGAAACTGGGCCAGAAAAGCTGTAAATGAAAATTGCAAATTCAGTTGGCTGTTTACAGAAAGTAATTATCAAAAATAACCACTAATGTAGTAATTTTAAATATGTCAAAGTGATGAAGAGGTTGTCCTATTAACCCCATGACACTCTCCAGGATCTTACAAATGTGGAGATACGTAGCACACCTTTGATAGACCTTCTACCTAAGCATTGTTATATTGTGATTTTGACACAACCTTTTAACATTTTACTGTAAACAGGTGGGAAATACTCTTTGTTCTGCATCATAAACCAATGGACTAAAAGAGAATGAGTTGGAAGAGTAATGATTTTGACAAGAAAATTGTCAGTGCTTCGAATAGAGGAATGTTATAGATCTGCTGAAATGATGTGGAGAATGATTGTACATGCTACTTAAACTGAAATTATTACAAAAATCTGAGGTTTTAAATGCCACAGAATATGGGCAAAATAAATTACCAGGCCTTTTTGTCTTTTTGGTTTTGTGCTGGT